GAAGAGAGGCCAGACGACCACCGCCACGCCCATGTTGACCTCCACGTACCTGGGAGAGGGGGATGGGGAAAAAGCGGAGGTGTAAGGGAGCATATGGGTGGATGCGTTGAAGCCCGCAGCTTGAAGAGAGGCCAGACGACCACCGCCACGCCCATGTTGACCTCCACGTACCTGGGAGAGGGGGATGGGGAAAAAGCGGAGGTGTAAGGGAGCATATGGGTGGATGCGTTGAAGCCCGCAGCTTGAAGAGAGGCCAGACGACCACCGCCACGCCCATGTTGACCTCCACGTACCTGGGAGAGGGGGATGGGGAAAAAGCGGAGGAGTAAGGGAGCATATGGGTGGATGCGTTGAAGCCCGCAGCTTGAAGAGAGGCCAGACGACCACCGCCACGCCCATGTTGACCTCCACGTACCTGGGAGAGGGGGATGGGGAAAAAGCGGAGGTGTAAGGGAGCATATGGGTGGATGCGTTGAAGCCCGCAGCTTGAAGAGAGGCCAGACGACCACCGCCACGCCCATGTTGACCTCCACGTACCTGGGAGAGGGGGATGGGGAAAAAGCGGAGGTGTAAGGGAGCATATGGGTGGATGCGTTGAAGCCCGCAGCTTGAAGAGAGGCCAGACGACCACCGCCACGCCCATGTTGACCTCCACGTACCTGGGAGAGGGGGATGGGGAAAAAGCGGAGGTGTAAGGGAGCATATGGGTGGATGCGTTGAAGCCCGCAGCTTGAAGAGAGGCCAGACGACCACCGCCACGCCCATGTTGACCTCCACGTACCTGGGAGAGGGGGATGGGGAAAAAGCGGAGGTGTAAGGGAGCATATGGGTGGATGCGTTGAAGCCCGCAGCTTGAAGAGAGGCCAGACGACCACCGCCACGCCCATGTTGACCTCCACGTACCTGGGAGAGGGGGATGGGGAAAAAGCGGAGGTGTAAGGGAGCATATGGGTGGATGCGTTGAAGCCCGCAGCTTGAAGAGAGGCCAGACGACCACCGCCACGCCCATGTTGACCTCCACGTACCTGGGAGAGGGGGATGGGGAAAAAGCGGAGGTGTAAGGGAGCATATGGGTGGATGCGTTGAAGCCCGCAGCTTGAAGAGAGGCCAGACGACCACCGCCACGCCCATGTTGACCTCCACGTACCTGGGAGAGGGGGATGGGGAAAAAGCGGAGGAGTAAGGGAGCATATGGGTGGATGCGTTGAAGCCCGCAGCTTGAAGAGAGGCCAGACGACCACCGCCACGCCCATGTTGACCTCCACGTACCTGGGAGAGGGGGACGGGGAAAAAGCGGAGGTGTAAGGGAGCATATGGGTGGATGCGTTGAAGCCCGCAGCTTGAAGAGAGGCCAGACGACCACCGCCACGCCCATGTTGACCTCCACGTACCTGGGAGAGGGGGATGGGGAAAAAGCGGAGGAGTAAGGGAGCATATGGGTGGATGCGTTGAAGCCCGCAGCTTGAAGAGAGGCCAGACGACCACCGCCACGCCCATGTTGACCTCCACGTACCTGGGAGAGGGGGATGGGGAAAAAGCGGAGGTGTAAGGGAGCATATGGGTGGATGCGTTGAAGCCCGCAGCTTGAAGAGAGGCCAGACGACCACCGCCACGCCCATGTTGACCTCCACGTACCTGGGAGAGGGGGATGGGGAAAAAGCGGAGGAGTAAGGGAGCATATGGGTGGATGCGTTGAAGCCCGCAGCTTGAAGAGAGGCCAGACGACCACCGCCACGCCCATGTTGACCTCCACGTACCTGGGAGAGGGGGATGGGGAAAAAGCGGAGGAGTAAGGGAGCATATGGGTGGATGCGTTGAAGCCCGCAGCTTGAAGAGAGGCCAGACGACCACCGCCACGCCCATGTTGACCTCCACGTACCTGGGAGAGGGGGATGGGGAAAAAGCGGAGGAGTAAGGGAGCATATGGGTGGATGCGTTGAAGCCCGCAGCTTGAAGAGAGGCCAGACGACCACCGCCACGCCCATGTTGACCTCCACGTACCTGGGAGAGGGGAATGGGGAAAAAGCGGAGGTGTAAGGGAGCATATGGGTGGATGCGTTGAAGCCCGCAGCTTGAAGAGAGGCCAGACGACCACCGCCACGCCCATGTTGACCTCCACGTACCTGGGAGAGGGGGATGGGGAAAAAGCGGAGGTGTAAGGGAGCATATGGGTGGATGCGTTGAAGCCCGCAGCTTGAAGAGAGGCCAGACGACCACCGCCACGCCCATGTTGACCTCCACGTACCTGGGAGAGGGGGATGGGGAAAAAGCGGAGGAGTAAGGGAGCATATGGGTGGATGCGTTGAAGCCCGCAGCTTGAAGAGAGGCCAGACGACCACCGCCACGCCCATGTTGACCTCCACGTACCTGGGAGAGGGGGATGGGGAAAAAGCGGAGGAGTAAGGGAGCATATGGGTGGATGCGTTGAAGCCCGCAGCTTGAAGAGAGGCCAGACGACCACCGCCACGCCCATGTTGACCTCCACGTACCTGGGAGAGGGGGATGGGGAAAAAGCGGAGGTGTAAGGGAGCATATGGGTGGATGCGTTGAAGCCCGCAGCTTGAAGAGAGGCCAGACGACCACCGCCACGCCCATGTTGACCTCCACGTACCTGGGAGAGGGGGATGGGGAAAAAGCGGAGGTGTAAGGGAGCATATGGGTGGATGCGTTGAAGCCCGCAGCTTGAAGAGAGGCCAGACGACCACCGCCACGCCCATGTTGACCTCCACGTACCTGGGAGAGGGGGATGGGGAAAAAGCGGAGGTGTAAGGGAGCATATGGGTGGATGCGTTGAAGCCCGCAGCTTGAAGAGAGGCCAGACGACCACCGCCACGCCCATGTTGACCTCCACGTACCTGGGAGAGGGGGATGGGGAAAAAGCGGAGGTGTAAGGGAGCATATGGGTGGATGCGTTGAAGCCCGCAGCTTGAAGAGAGGCCAGACGACCACCGCCACGCCCATGTTGACCTCCACGTACCTGGGAGAGGGGGATGGGGAAAAAGCGGAGGTGTAAGGGAGCATATGGGTGGATGCGTTGAAGCCCGCAGCTTGAAGAGAGGCCAGACGACCACCGCCACGCCCATGTTGACCTCCACGTACCTGGGAGAGGGGGATGGGGAAAAAGCGGAGGTGTAAGGGAGCATATGGGTGGATGCGTTGAAGCCCGCAGCTTGAAGAGAGGCCAGACGACCACCGCCACGCCCATGTTGACCTCCACGTACCTGGGAGAGGGGGATGGGGAAAAAGCGGAGGTGTAAGGGAGCATATGGGTGGATGCGTTGAAGCCCGCAGCTTGAAGAGAGGCCAGACGACCACCGCCACGCCCATGTTGACCTCCACGTACCTGGGAGAGGGGGATGGGGAAAAATCGGAGGTGTAAGGGAGCATATGGGTGGATGCGTTGAAGCCCGCAGCTTGAAGAGAGGCCAGACGACCACCGCCACGCCCATGTTGACCTCCACGTACCTGGGAGAGGGGGATGGGGAAAAAGCGGAGGTGTAAGGGAGCATATGGGTGGATGCGTTGAAGCCCGCAGCTTGAAGAGAGGCCAGACGACCACCGCCACGCCCATGTTGACCTCCACGTACCTGGGAGAGGGGGATGGGGAAAAAGCGGAGGTGTAAGGGAGCATATGGGTGGATGCGTTGAAGCCCGCAGCTTGAAGAGAGGCCAGACGACCACCGCCACGCCCATGTTGACCTCCACGTACCTGGGAGAGGGGGGTGGGAAAAAAGCGGAGGTGTAACGGAGCATATGGGTGGATGCGTTGAAGCCCGCAGCTTGAAGAGAGGCCAGACGACCACCGCCACGCCCATGTTGACCTCCACGTACCTGGGAGAGGGGGATGGGGAAAAAGCGGAGGTGTAAGGGAGCATATGGGTGGATGCGTTGAAGCCCGCAGCTTGAAGAGAGGCCAGACGACCACCGCCACGCCCATGTTGACCTCCACGTACCTGGGAGAGGGGGATGGGGAAAAAGCGGAGGTGTAAGGGAGCATATGGGTGGATGCGTTGAAGCCCGCAGCTTGAAGAGAGGCCAGACGACCACCGCCACGCCCATGTTGACCTCCACGTACCTGGGAGAGGGGGATGGGGAAAAAGCGGAGGTGTAAGGGAGCATATGGGTGGATGCGTTGAAGCCCGCAGCTTGAAGAGAGGCCAGACGACCACCGCCACGCCCATGTTGACCTCCACGTACCTGGGAGAGGGGGATGGGGAAAAAGCGGAGGAGTAAGGGAGCATATGGGTGGATGCGTTGAAGCCCGCAGCTTGAAGAGAGGCCAGACGACCACCGCCACGCCCATGTTGACCTCCACGTACCTGGGAGAGGGGGATGGGGAAAAAGCGGAGGTGTAAGGGAGCATATGGGTGGATGCGTTGAAGCCCGCAGCTTGAAGAGAGGCCAGACGACCACCGCCACGCCCATGTTGACCTCCACGTACCTGGGAGAGGGGGATGGGGAAAAAGCGGAGGTGTAAGGGAGCATATGGGTGGATGCGTTGAAGCCCGCAGCTTGAAGAGAGGCCAGACGACCACCGCCACGCCCATGTTGACCTCCACGTACCTGGGAGAGGGGGATGGGGAAAAAGCGGAGGAGTAAGGGAGCATATGGGTGGATGCGTTGAAGCCCGCAGCTTGAAGAGAGGCCAGACGACCACCGCCACGCCCATGTTGACCTCCACGTACCTGGGAGAGGGGGATGGGGAAAAAGCGGAGGTGTAAGGGAGCATATGGGTGGATGCGTTGAAGCCCGCAGCTTGAAGAGAGGCCAGACGACCACCGCCACGCCCATGTTGACCTCCACGTACCTCCGGAGGGGGAGGCCGTGTGAAGGTGTGCGGATGTGCGAGTGTGAAGGGGTGAGAGTGTGAGGGTGTGAGGGTGTGCTTGTGTGAGGTAGGTAACACCTCAGGCTACGAGAGAAAGCATACCCACTCACACCCACCTACCCCCCAGAAGAACCAATCACCATCAGACCCATATGCTACCAGTACCACTCACCATGGGTCATGGAATATGTGTGTCATGACGGCATCATAAGCTGCTTGAAAGATGTGCAGATACTCAAAGTCACCGAACAGAATGTGCGCCTGGTGGGAGGATGGGGAAAGGACGGAACCAGAATACAGAAAGATTGTGAGGCGCCTCACAAGTTGATTCTTTTGGCTGGTGCCTCAAAAGCATCATAGGCTGCTTGGAAGATGTGTAGATACTCAAAGTCACCGAACAGAATGTGCGCCTGGTGGGAGGGGGAAACGACAGCAACAGCATACATACAGAGAAATGTTGAGGTGCCTCAATAACCATCACAGGCTGCTTGGAAATGTGCAGCTCACTCAAGATTGCATTTTGTAATCTTGAGTGAGCTGAGGTGCATTTCAAAGTACATGTTACACATGTTGCACTCAAAACAAAATGTGTATTAGAAATGTGGCACCCCCATACTTTGAGATGCACCTCAGCTTCATACCTTAATTAGGTACTCGTAGAACGAATCAATGCTGGTTCCGACCCCCGCATCCTGCCAAAACACAGGGTACATGTTACATACGTTACGACGATAGGTACAGTTTGAATGCTGGATATATGTGTAGGTGTATGGCATTATCCCATAAAGATGACATTTTTTTGCTTGGTGCGAATCATACATGATCTAAGTGTGCACGTATCCTTACATCTCTTCTCTGAAGCATATAACTTCTTCGATTTCTGTATGATCCAGATTTCAACGCAGAAAAAGTTCATTCCCTTCCTCTTCTACATTCACTGTGACAATGACTTTACGCTCTCTCGAAGGCCATGAATTATTCACATGTACTCTCGGTTCAAGCAACTACAGAGCCCTACAGACCCACCTTGTGTGTCCACTCTCCCGTGAAGATGTCTATATGCGCACCCAGCAGCCCAAGGGAGGACCTGCGCGCCCACAGAGCCCTCACAGCGTTGCGAGCCACGTCCTCAAACACTGAACTCGAGGCAGGGTGGATGAGGAGGTGGAGAGCATGGGGAGACAATGGAGAGAAGGTGCGGGGACGAAGCGATGTCAATGTGCACCCGTAGCAGCCCAAGGGAGGACCTTCGAGCCCACAGAGCCCTCACAGCGTTGCGAGCCACGTCCTCAAACACTGAACTCGAGGCAGGGTGGATGAGGAGGTGGAGAGCATGGGGAGACAATGGAGAGAAGGTGCGGGGACGAAGCGATGTCAATGTGCACCCGTAGCAGCCCAAGGGAGGACCTTCGAGCCCACAGAGCCCTCACAGCGTTGCGAGCCACGTCCTCAAACACTGAACTCGAGGCAGGGTGGATGCGGAGGTGGAGAGCATGGGGAGACAATGAAGAGAAGGTGCGGGGACGAAGCGATGTCAATGTGCACCCGTAGCAGCCCAAGGGAGGACCTTCGAGCCCACAGAGCCCTCACAGCGTTGCGAGCCACGTCCTCAAACACTGAACTCGAGGCAGGGTGGATGAGGAGGTGGAGAGCATGGGGAGACAATGGAGAGAAGGTGCGGGGACGAAGCGATGTCAATGTGCACCCGTAGCAGCCCAAGGGAGGACCTTCGAGCCCACAGAGCCCTCACAGCGTTGCGAGCCACGTCCTCAAACACTGGAGTCAGACCGAATAGATGGAAACTGGGTAGACGGGGAGAGTATGGAAACAGATGGGAGCACGGACGACGTTTATGTATGCTGTACCCCAGCAGCCCAGGGATGACCTCCCCTTTGGGCCCCCACAACACTACAACGCCCGCCCTGACAGAGTTGCACACGACACGACACGACACGACACGACACCACGATGCAGATTATTTTCTTAAGAATTCTTGTAAGTTCCCTGACTGACCCCCTCCCTGGGCCCCCACAACAACGCCTGCCCTCACAGCGATGCACACCACACCACGTTCCTGGGGATTTATGAAAAAACCTATGAAATATCCCGATCTCCTCCAGGTCCAGACTCACAACCACGCCCGGCCTCAGAGCACGGCATGACCTTACGCAGCACTTGAACTTGCACCCGTGCACCCGCGCATGCAGCACATGCATGTGCGAGCTCGATACTACCTGATGTGAAAGGCCACATCCACTTTCCTGGATGGCCTGTGAGACGACTGAGCACACCGAACTCAAGTGCAAGTGTGCTGCCAGGCTGCTAACCGTGACTGACACAGGCAAGCACGAATGCAAACGTACGTGCGTATGCAGTGTGCATGTGCACATACAAGCTCATTCCTATATAGACGCCACAGTTTACTGGCCTGGATCGCCTGTGAGGCGACTGAGCATGCCGAATTCAAGTGCAAGTGTGCCACCAGCTGATTGTGACAGGCATCTGAACATGCACAGGAGCACACGTGGATGCAGCACATGCGTGTGCGAGCTCGATTATATGTAATGTGATGTGAGGGGGCATTTTCCACTTGCCTGGATCGCCTGTGAGACGGCTGAGCACACCGAACTCAAGTGCAAGTGTGCCGCCGCCTGCTGTTGCTGTCACCTGTGTGTGGCATTGCATGGCATGGCATGGCATGTCAGGAAGTGGAATAAGAAGATATGTGGCATGAAATGATGTTCTAGTTGACTCAAAAACCACAACAGGAGGTGGAATATCACGATATGTGGCATGGGACAGCATGACATGGCGTTATATGTCAAGAGCACTCATTGCGCTGTGCTCTCCCCTCCCCTCACACCACTCGTATCACACATTGTCCTTCGCAGGATGACACAAATGCTGGTCCTCATAGACCGTGCGCATTGTGTCAGAGTTATCAAAGAATTAGAGCACTGACCTTGAGTGCTTTGATCAGAGCCCTCACCTTGCTCTTTCCGCGCAGCACCCCATGGCGCAGGTTGACGCACATGTGTGCTATCATGGGATGGGGCATGCACATTAACTCAAATAATGGTATATATGGCATCATGGTATCAGAGCCCATACCTTGCTCTCCCCTCGCAGCACTCCATGGCGCAGATTGACTGAGCCGAAAGGGATGCCTGGAAGCAAAGGCAACGAGATCAACACAACACAGTATTTGATTGTTCTTAGACGCCTCAAAGTTGTTATCGCGTGGCTATTTTGACACGTCACTCCCCTCACAGCACTCCATGACGTGGGTTGACTGAGCCAAAATGGATGCCTGTAAACAAAGGAGACGAGAGAGGACTGAAGATTCAAACGGGCAAGAGAGTTCAGTGTTCGAGGAGCACATACATTGAAAGGACAAGAATTACTTGGAGAGAATGGAAGGATTGGGGTCACAAAGAGCAGCAGGCAATGGAAAAAACTTTGAACGAACACACCTGTTGGCGTGTCGAAAGCTGGCAGCAATCGCCTACCCAGGTCCTCTGCCAGTCTCAACAGCTCATTGTCATATCCAGGCACCTGCATGCCCTGTGGGAGTGAGAAGGTGACGGGACGGATATGGGCAGGGAGAGAAGCTAACACGGGGGTGTCGAAAGCTGGCAGCAGGCGCCTACCTAGGTCCTCTGCTAGCCTCAACAGCTCATTGTCATCTCCAGGCACCTGCATGCCCTGTGGCGGATGGACCGGGGAGAGGGGAAGGAGACGGGTAGAGGGAGGAGAAAGGGATGTCGAAAGCTGGCAGCAAACGCCTGCTCAAGGGCCTCTGCTACTTGTCTCAGCAGCTTGTTGTTGCAGCCAGAATATTGCATGGCATGTGCGGGGGATACAGGAGATGGCAGTCTCTCGAGGAGAGATATAGAGTGGAAGACGAGGTAAGAAACAGCCAGGGACAGCACACGCAGCTAGTTTATCATGCACCTTCATGTGCAGTGCAGACTCACCTCCGTTCCAGTGCCACAAGCACGGTTAGAGCAGCAGGGACTTATTCAATTATCAATGGAGGGAAGGTTGCTTGCAGTGCATTGATAAAAATACAGGGAAAAGCCACATCCTTAATTGCGGGAACAAGGCTCAAAGTTGCATGTGTGGTTACCACCAATGCATGTGTGGTTACCAGAGCAGGGTCGGATGCAATGAGGTGTGCTGACAGCAGCCCTCCCATGACTCGGATGTTAGTCTCAAACAGAGACACGGTCTTGTTCTAAAGGAAGAAAACAGGGGGTGGAGCGGAGGAGAGGGGGCAACAGAAGGGCAGCAGGGCGCATTCATGTGGTGTCAGCCTGGACTGAGCTGTCTCAATAGCCGCAGCAGGCTGACAGCAGCCCTCCCATGACTCGGATGTTCGTTTCAAACAGAGACAGTCTTGTTCCGAGACAGAAACAGGTGGACGGGAGAAGGGAAGTAAAACGAAAGAAGGGCCCATGGCAAGAAAGTTCTCCAATTGAGGCACGTCAGCACTCTCCTTAATTCAGAGAATGCTAAATTCTTCCTTGATCAACGAGGAGAATAGCAGTTCTTGCCTGCGTCATTCCGTCCATGTCAGCAGTTTGCATCTGTTAACCAGATCGAATACTCCACCAATAGCAAGCGCTATGACTTGTTCACCTTGTCGCAAACCTTATCACTTGTTCACCTTGTCGCAAACCTTATCACTTGTTCACCTTGCCGCAAACCTTATCACTTGTTCACCTTGTCGCAAACCTTATCACTTGTTCACCTTGTCGCAAACCTTATCACTTGTTCACCTTGTCGCAAACCTTATCACTTGTTCACCTTGTCGCAAACCTTATCACTTGTTCACCTTGTCCCAAACCTTATCACTTGTTCACCGTGTCGCAAACCTTATCACTTGTTCACCTTGTCGCAAACCTTATCACTTGTTCACCTTGCCGCAAACCTTATCACTTGTTCACCTTGTCGCAAACCTTATCACTTGTTCACCTTGCCGCAAACCTTATCACTTGTTCACCTTGTCGCAAACCTTATCACTTGTTCACCTTGTCGCAAACCTTATCACTTGTTCACCTTGTCGCAAACCTTATCACTTGTTCACCTTGTCGCAAACCTTATCACTTGTTCACCTTGTCCCAAACCTTATCACTTGTTCACCTTGTCGCAAACCTTATCACTTGTTCACCTTGTCGCAAACCTTAGCACTTGTTCACCTTGTCGCAAACCTTATCACTTGTTCACCTTGTCGCAAACCTTATCACTTGTTCACCTTGTCGTAAACCTTATCACTTGTTCACCTTGTCGCAAACCTTATCACTTGTTCACCTTGTCGCAAACCTCATCACTTGTTCACCTTGTCGCAAACCTTATCACTTGTTCACCTTGTCGCAAACCTTATCACTTGTTCACCTTGTCGCAAACCTTATCACTTGTTCACCTTGTCGCAAACCTTATCACTTGTTCACCTTGTCGCAAACCTTATCACTTGTTCACCTTGTCGCAAACCTTATCACTTGTTCACCTTGTCGCAAACCTTATCACTTGTTCACCTTGTCCCAAACCTTATCACTTGTTCACCGTGTCGCAAACCTTATCACTTGTTCACCTTGTCGCAAACCTTATCACTTGTTCACCTTGCCGCAAACCTTATCACTTGTTCACCTTGTCGCAAACCTTATCACTTGTTCACCTTGCCGCAAACCTTATCACTTGTTCACCTTGCCGCAAACCTTATCACTTGTTCACCTTGTCGCAAACCTTATCACTTGTTCACCTTGTCGCAAACCTTATCACTTGTTCACCTTGTCGTAAACCTTATCACTTGTTCACCTTGTCGCAAACCTTATCACTTGTTCACCTTGTTGCAAACCTGATCACTTGTTCACCTCGTCAAAGTTGAGGTGTGCAGAAAGCCATCTGACAGCCGAGGCGAATTCAACCTTGTTGCGAAGTAACGCCAGGCTATCCAGGGAGTCAATCTGTGGTGAAGAGTTGCACATATTACCTTGTCACGTGTTCACCGTGCCAAGTGCTCACCTTATCGAAGTTGAGGTGTGCAGAGAGCCATCTGACAGCCGTTGCGAACTCAGTCTTGTTGCCAAGCAACGCCAGGCTATCCAGAGAGTCAATCTGTGGTAACGATTCGCACAAGCCACATAGCGACACATATAGCAAATAAACACACACATATCGCCATTGATCCTTTCATAACAGCAAGGGTAGGAGTGGCAAGAGCAGCAGGAGCAGCATGCGTGGCAAGAAAGGCAAGCAGGAGTGCCTCACAGCATCAATATCCAAGGTATTTGAACCAGCACCAAAGGGATTCTGACCGGCGTCAGGGTCTCTGTAGCCACCTTGTGAATCTTCTCCTTCTAAGTTGATTCAAGTGGCACAATGAACAAAAGACTTTTGCCTGACAACAGCATCATGAGGGTGAGTGAATAACGAGTGCGAGGGTGTAGCAACCCGGTGCATCCTCTCCATTTGAGTTAACTCAGAAGGTACGGTGTGCATAGGAGCATCATTATGAGAGTGACTGACCAGCGTGAGGGTGTAGCCACCCAGTGAATCCTCTCCTTTGCATGACCGAGCGCGAAGCTCATCCAGAGGAAACGCATGACGCATGTACCCGTTATAGCCATGATAGAACATCGCCCGGACCTGCCACATGACCCGGAATCGAATTTAATAGGTGTTTAGCAGCAACATGTAAATCTCGGTTGAGAATGCCCGAATTCAGACAGCGTCGCTTCGGTGAGTAGCTAATAATGGCCAGAATACTTCCAGTTTTCAGTCAAAAGTGCAGAATCTAGCACCTATGGTCTTCAAGTGTTGCGCTGATACGTGATTGTCAAATTATGCGACGAATTGTGTCAACGGAAATTAGACTGCCGAAGAGAGGAGGCTCGTCTCACCTCCTCGCGAAGCTCTCTGGCCTCATCTGGCGACACGAAGTGCACGCTGCTGCTGCTGCTGTCGGCGTACACAGCGTTCCTGCGAGCCGCGCCGGCAGCGTGACACGCCGCGATAGCGAAGACGAGCAGCGCTAAGGCATGCTCGACGCGCATGGCTGACGATGATGATGAGAAACAGTGATTAGACCTTCATGTTTCTCAGTATGTAGCCTGAAATTTCTATGTGTGACTGAGTGTTGAGGAGCTCGGGATATGCATGGGTGCAGTGATGTTTCTGCTGTATATTTAGAGATTTCCTTATATTGGTCTTATTCTCCTTATGTTCTGTCAGAAAAGGAGGCAATCACTCACAGTTCATCTCACTATAAAAAAGGAAGTGTGTGGAATTTTATGCTGAAATAACATTCCACGGCCTTTGCATGATTGCATCTCATACCGTAAGGAAAGTTATTGATTGACATCTTATATGTACAAATAAATTAAAATAAAATTCTAAATAGCACAACGTTTTGTAGAATCTAGATGCTTATGATTCATATTACATGTAGCATACTTTTAGAAATCTTCCAAGATATGCTTTCATAAATGAAACTGCACCCGTATGCATTATCGAGCATCTTTTAACTATGGAACAATTTCGTGCTCATCACCACTGAACACCAAAACCATCTCTTGTGCTGCCTGTCCAGACTGAACCATTTTTCGACAGCGCAACGGCCTGCTCGCCAGCATCCCGAGCTCATTTTTGCTCCCTCAGGAGTATCCATGTTACGCGAGAGCATAATCGCTGTCAATGGGGATCTTCGCCTTGTCGAGATTGTATGTGTTTCTTTTAAAAAGAGAATGCACTGGGACTTAAACGAAGTTTTACTGCCTATGCATTTTGCATCGGCAGGAAATCAAGAAGGGCCAGTCTGAGCTGGAGGTCTTGCGTTCAGCGTTAGCGTCCGCTGAGTACAGGAGAGAAGCAGCGGAACAGCGTGAGCTGATGTTGCAGAATGGTAAGCGCGACTGGGTTGTTTCTCTGATTGGCTGCTTTCCTTTATTCTTTTTCTGACATTTTTTAATTCGGCAGAAGTGGAAAGGTTGCGCTCTCTTCGACAAGCTGAACTTGAGATTATTCAGCAACAGGTTAGTTGTTGCCTTACAGGGTCCGTAGCCTTCCCGCTGCGACTTCAATCACAATGTCTTTCATACGTCCAGTTCCACTTTCGCAAACTGTATGAAGAAGCTGAGGATCGGTTAAAAAACCAGCAGAAGGAATACGACCTGAAGATGGAGGTACGCATTCCTCTTCGTGACATATATCTTGTTGTTTAACACGTCTTATCTCCGGAATCTATGTTCAGGAGTTGAAAGGCGTGCTTAGCACTGTCGATGACAGGGCAGCGCAAGCCAAAACCGTGGCTGAAAATCGAGTATTGTAAGGAAAAGTTTGTTGCACGTTTCCACTTTCAACATAGGTGTTCACACGGCAGTTTTTTCAGGAGCCTGGAAAAGGAGCTTTCCGAGGCATGGGCGATGGTGGTGACTCTTGAGGACAGGTTGGAGCAGCAGAACAGTGAAGAGGAGCATGAAAAGAGACAAATGAAGGAGTTAGCATTCTCACAAAGGGTGAAGTGTAAGTTCACTTTGGGTGGCATTGTTGACTGTTCAGACGCAGCCTGCTGATCAAGGTTTGTTGCAGATGAGAGTGAGCTGGCGACTCTGAGAAACCAGCTTCACGACGAAGAGGCCCGACGGAAGTCTTTGGAAAAGTCTCTCTCAATGGCTGAATACAAATGTAAGTTACCTTGGCCGTTTTCTTCCCTTTGATGGCATGTGGGATACATGAGTGACAGCGTAACTGTGTGCAGGCTCACTTGCTGGGAATCAGCTGCAAGAACAGATGAAAGAATTTAGGCAGAAGATGGAGGAACAAATTCGTGAAGCAGTGCCAAACAGGCATGCTGATGCCATTAAGCAGAGAATGATGAAGATGCGGAAGGAGAATGATGAGCTTCGTCGGCAGCTCCAAGCTTACTTGGGCAGATGATACAATGACAAAGCTGGGTGCTGTGGATCGAGAATTCACACCAACCTTAGGTTCTTAACTTTATGACACAATGGTAATTTTGCATAACCTTGATCAAACAATTTTGGCTGGAAAGGAAGGCACCAGTGCAGGTTTCATTTGCCAGTGCTCACCTTTTTCAATATTATTTACAAACCTCAAGAATTTTGTAGCACAAATTTGGAAGTGTATCGATACCGCATTGACTTCGCAGTTCGGATTAGCTGCCAAGTCAGCGGGGCCCGTTGCCTGCATTGCAGGGAGGTACAACACGATTCCGTAGCTTTCTAAACGGTTAGAGAAGGCATCCAGTGACGGAAATTCGTGTTCGTGTACCTCACACCAACTGGGAACTTTCAATTTTATCATGGCTGCCATGGCTGTCTTGGTGCCTTCAGCGGAGACAGCTAAATGGCAGCTGCTCTCTTCGCTGGACAACCATCGCATTTGCCTCCGCAAGGCGTGCTCTCGCCGCTCGACTTCATCCAACATTCTCACCCGTTTTACACCAAAACATGCCCGTTTCCAGCCAATCCGCAGTGGTTTCGCGAAGGTCGTGGTGGTTGCTCGAGCGTCGCGTAAGGCGCCGAGTCTGCCCCAAAATGTACCTTCGCACGTTGATGGTTCCAACTCGCTTTACTCCAACATTCTTTCGTCACAGAATGCACTCCTTGCCATCCCATCGTCAGCAACCGTCGATTCTCGCGAAACCACAGGCTCGCCGCTCTGCGAATCCGTGGCCAACCTCATGCGACAATCTGCGAATGTCGCTGCTTCCGTCCTTTTCACAGCGGCTTCAGTCGTCACCCTCCTGTCCTTTCCTTTGGACGCTTCTGCAGCAGCAGAAGCGCCAGCTGATCTTGCAGCAATATCATCATCCGCTTCTTTAGTGTCGCTTTCCCCAGGCGCTATGACGCGGGACAGCCAGCAAACCCTAGCCCTGTCATACTCAGGACCACTCGCTCGAATCGCGGATATTACAGCTGCGGTTGAAACTGCACCAAATACTGCCTTTCCTGCTGGCCAATCAGCAATTGACAACATGGCAGCAGCGGGTCCCGTGATTGACGGAGCGCAGCTTCTGGGCGGCGGGAAACGGGAGGCGATGATTCGTCAGCTGGAGAGTCTGGAGAGGGAGTATGGATGGCGTATGCGTGTGCTGACTCGGTATGCGCCTGAGCAGTTCGAGACAGAGGCCCTACGTGCAGTGTGGCAGGTAAGGGAGGCGGGGTGAGAAGCCCTGAAAGGGAAGGTGGGTAGTGTGCGAGCGAGTGCTGGTTGGGTATGCGCCTGAGCAGTTCAAAACAGAGGCCCTACGTGCAGTGTGGCAGGTAAGGGAGGCGGGGTGAGAAGCCCTGAAATTGAAGGTGGGTAATGTGCGAGCGAGTGCTGGTTGGGTATGCGCCTGAGCAGTTCAAAACAGAGGCCCTACGTGCAGTGTGGCAGGTAAGGGAGGCGGGGTGAGAAGCCCTGAAATTGAAGGTGGGTAATGTGCGAGCGAGTGCTGGTTGGGTATGCGCCTGAGCAGTTCAAAACAGAGGCCCTACGTGCAGTGTGGCAGGTAAGGTAGGCGGGGTGAGAAGCCCGGAGATTGAAGGTGGGTAGTGTGCGAGCGAGTGCTGGTTGGGTATGTGTCCGAGCAGTGTAGATTGAAACAGAGGGCCTACGTGCAGTGTGGCATGTAAATAGGCGAATCGGAAAAGCTTCATTTGGGCCATGTCTCCCATGCATGTATGCATCTTCTGAGTTTCCACTCTTTCTTTCTCGGCACCTGTGTGTTATGGCTCGTCTCATCCCTGTCAGCCTGATTACCTGACAGTAGTGGTGATAGGCATGCATTGCCCAACATTTCATGCACCTCTCATGAGTTTCCTCCCCTTTCTTTTCCTCTCCAACCCCTACACAAACGCTGTGGCTCCTCGCATCCCTCGCAGCCCAACGACCGAACCGTGTTGGTGGTGGGCGTGCATAACCCAACATTCCATGCGCCTCTCATGCATTCTCATGTGTCTCCACTCATTTCTTTTCCTCCCCAACACTGCATGTATGATGTGTGTCATCCCATCCCTTTCAGCCCGACTAGTGGTGGTGGTGGATATCACATCGCCCAGCATCCTCAACTCACCCTTTATTCCCACCTATCTTACCATGTGCGCTTCTTGTTTGTTTGTTTGTCTGTCTGTCTGTCTGTCTGTCGCATATCAGCCCGACGACCGCACAGTCGTGGTGGTGGCGGACATCACATCACCCAACATCCTCAACTTCTTTGCAGGAGACACTGTCAGGGAGAAGCTTCCCCGACAGTTCTTCATCGAGCTACAATCCCGGTACACCTCTCTAGTCGCCCCCCCATATAGGTCTCTACTTCCTCCCACCCGCCCATTACCCCATTCCCCCCACCCACATCCCTTCCTTTTCTCCTCCACCCGTTCTTATTCCCATCCTCGCCCGTGCTTTGTCTCGAAGATGAAAAGCAAAAAGTACATCACACATGCAGCGTCCTTCTCCCCTCTCCCTGCTCCCCCTTTCCCCTCTCCACTCTTCGGTCCCCAACCCCAGCTTTGGGAATCAGTTTTATGTGGCAGAGCAGGGCGATACAAGGGCTGTCCAAGACGCCGTTGCCACGCTGCAAACCTGCCTCTTAAAGCCCTCCGGCTGTAACAACGTGCCCGGCCTAGTAGACGACCTTTACTTCATCACTCTCTCCACTGCAATCCTCAGTGGAATAGTTTTCGGATTCGCTGCCCGCTTGGAACCTTCCGGAAAGGTGGAAGCCTCTTGGCAGTGGGTGCTACTTTTCTCCCCGCTGTGGCTGCTGCTGCTTGTGGCTTTTTCGTTTCTGCCCATTACTGCCCGGACGGACGATTTGGAGCCGTTGTTGAAGAATGGGGCGGGTTTTCTTGCTGGGGCAGCTGCGATTTATTTGACTCCGATTTTCGGGCAGTCTCCTGTGGCGAATTGGGGCAAGGGGAAGGAGGATGGGACTCGAAGTGGCACCCAGAGCGGTAGGGATAGTGACTTTGATGGGTTCTAGCTGAATGGGTACTTCACAGTATATTTATTTGAAGGAGGCAGCAATCATATAACACCGTAGCATGAGGTCTTCTTGACACATTCTTTATATCAAAACTTGCTGAATTATTGAGGCTCTGGTGATAGAATGTGAGAGAGTTGACACCTGTTAGGTAGGAGCTTCAAGTGGCGTGTATGTGTCTGCCCAGTAAGACAAGCCATCTTTCTCACTTCTCATTTCTCAACCTCTACACTCCACTAAATGTAGGTATTACAGCACAGACTCAACTACAGCTCGGGCCATCTATAACGAGTAAATTCTAGAAGTCCTGGTCCCGTCTGACACGAACGGCAAGCACTTCCGAGTCCACTTGGAACACAGTTCCCACAGCCACCACACCAAACCCCACCTCACCCACAGAGACCGATGAAGTGAACGACTCCAGTGTGCCTCAAGACTGAAGGGTACCGGAAATCGTCAGCTTCAGGCTCCAGTAGTGGCACAATCCGTCCCGTGAACGACGGTGTATAGGTTCGCCTCAAAACCTCCGTCGCTCTCCGTCCCGTAGTCCGTGAGAATCTATTTATGAGTATCGACATTTACTTCCAGAGTCGAAATTACTCTAGAGACGTCCCAAAGACATCGTCAGTGCGTCCAGCTAGCCAGAAAACTGACTTAGCCTCGCACGGCCCTACCTTTGGATTCCTGATTCTGCATCTTACGCGAAACCAACTGGACGGTTCCACGCCTTGGGGTTTGGCACGCCGCATTTTCACTGAGAGGCCAAGCAAGAGGCGAAGCGAGAGGCCAAGCCAGCAAGCCGAGTAGGAAAACAAGCATACCTCCACGACATTCCGTTACCTTGGGACTTTCGATACCGCATTTTCACTGATAAGCCGAGCGGCTTATCACGGCTTTGAGTTCCACGTGGCGACATGCCGTACTGCATTGTCCCTGACCACCATCGCCACAGAGACGAAAGTTCCGCGGAAAACGGCGGATCAGGCGCCGCGGAGAGCGGCGGGAATGGGGACGGAAATGACGGGGATGGCAAGAAAGTGAGGATTTTCTACGAGACGTACGGCCATGGAGACACGAAAGTGCTCATGATAATGGGTGCGTGTATCGAAGGGCTTATGATAATGGGTGCGTGTATCGAAGGGCTTATGATAATGGGTGCGTGTATCGAAGGGCTTATGATAATGGGTGCGTGTATCGAAGGGCTTATGATTATGGGTGCGTGTATCGAAGGGCTTATGATAATGGGTGCGTGTATCGAAGTGCTTATGATAATGGGTCCGCTTGTATCACTTTCCGAAACTCTTTAAAGTTATCTTTTTCTCCTCACCCCCTCCATTCCCCTCCCTTTCGGGCCTCGCCTCTGGTCACGTTGCTTGGCGATTCTCCAGTGGAGGCTGTACTAACACCAGGTGTGGTGGGCACGGGTATTCCCATTCCCACCAACCACCAGGGATCACGTCCATTACCAGCTTGACCTGTTGCTTCTCCTCTATTCCTTCCCTCCCAGGCCTCGCCTCTGGCCATGCTGCGTGGCGGTACCAGGTGGAGGCTCTGGCGTTCACAGGTGTTCCCAGTGGGGAGGGGAGGTGTCTACTATCAACTTGATCCATCGTTTCTCCTTCCCGTCTCCCCTTTTTCCCCCTCTAATCCCTCCCTCTATTCCCTCCCTCCCAGGCCTCGCCTCTGGCCATGCTGCGTGGCGGTACCAGGTGGGGTGTATGCTCTGGCGGGCACGGGTGTTCCCAATGGTGGGAGAGACGCTAACTATCAACCTGATCCGTCGCTCTTCCTTCCCCTCTCCCCATTGTCCCCCTCTATTCCCCTCCCTGCCAGGCCTCGCCTCTGGCCATGCTGCGTGGCGCTACCAGGTGGATGCTCTGGCGGGCACGGGTGTTCCCAATGGTGGGGGGCGGCAGGAGGGGGCGGAGGGACGGGGGGAAGAGAAGGAGGAGAAGGGAAATGATGGGGGGAAGGAGAGAGGTGAAGAGGAGTTTGGTAATGGGGAGGGTTGTTGGGAGGAGAGCAGGGATGGGAAAGGAGGAGGGAAGATGGAAGGGGAAGGAGGAGCGGAGAGAGGAGTGAGCGAAGGGTGTGAGAGAGAGAGGGGGATGAAGGAAAGCCGAGGAGGTGAGGGGAGAGGAGAGGAAGAGAGAGGAGTGGCGAGAGGAGAGGAGGAGAGGGGAGAGGAGGCGAAGGGGGAAGGGGAGAGGGGGGAGGAGGAGGAGGGGAGCAGCGGGAGGAGGAGTGGGATTGAGGTATGCGTGTTTGACAACCGGGGAGTGGGACACAGCTCGTGCCCCACCGACCCCAGCGAATACACGTGAGTAACACTCTGTGCTGTGATGGCTCTCTGTTCACGTGAGTGCTCCCTCGGAGGGAGGGTGGGTGGGATTGAGGTGTGCGTGTTTGACAACCGGGTAGTGGGACACAGCTCGTGCCCCACCGACCCCAGCGAATACACGTGAGTAACACTCTGTGCTGTGATGGCTCTCTGTTCACGTGAGTGCTCCCTCGGAGGGAGGGTGGGTGGGATTGAGGTGTGCGTGTTTGACAACCGGGGAGTGGGACACAGCTCGTGCCCCACCGACCCCAGCGAATACACCTGAGTAACACTCTCTGTAGTAGCAGCTCGTTAGCAACAAGGATGTGAGGTGAGGTGAGGTGAGTTGCGGTGAGGTGAGGTGCGGTGCGGTGATGTTAGGTGAGGTGAGGTGTGCGTGTTCGACAACCGGGGAGTGGGACACAGCTTGTGCCCCACCGACCCCAGCGAATACACCTGAGTGCTCTGCTCTCTGTTCCACTCTGCAGCAGCGTGTACATGCTTGCGCTCTTATGAACTGGAGTCTGCTTTTGAGTCGACTCAAATGTCAACTCCCCACCCAGTACACGTGAGTGCTCTGCTCTCTGTTCCACTCTGCAGCAGCGAGTACTTTTGAGGCGCCTCAAAAGTCGTCTCATTACCCGCAATTTTTTAGGCGCCTCAAAAGTCGTGAGTGCTCTGCTCTCTGTTCCACCCTGCACCGGCGAGTACATTCTTGCGCTCTTACAATTCGGAGTTGAGAATAGGAAATGTTTGTTTTACGCTGTTTTTCCCCTCCTCCCCCACTCCCCACCCCCCCTCCGTTTCAATTTGCACAGCACGGAGGTGATGGCAGCAGATGCATACGTATGTATAATCTACCCCCCCGCCCCTCTCTCCCCCCCCCCCCACTCCCCTTTTACCCCACAACAAGCCCGGACGTGATGGCACAGATGCACTGTTCCTAACCGAACATGCATGATGCATGTAGGTATGTATAATAAATAATGTAACACCCAACCCCCCTCCCCCCGCTCACTCCCCTTTTACCTCCCAACTTGCACGGACGTGACGGCAGCAGATGCACTGTTCCCGGCAGATCAACCCGGCTGGACACATGTGATCCTTATCCTTGTAACATTCCGTTCTGTCTCCCGACTCTCCCCCATCTCCTGCCCTCCCCCCCAACAACCGCGTCCCACCCACTGGCAGCACGGAGGTGATGGCAGCCGATGCACTGTTTCTGGCGGATCATCTCGGCTGGACTAGGTTCCACTTGGTTGGCCACTCCATGGGTCAGTTTCATCTCCCTGGATGGGTCAGTTTCATCTCCCTGGGTGGGTTGGTTTCATTTCCCTGGGTCGGTTTCATCTCCATAAATCAAATACCTGTCCATGTGCCGGTTTCATCTCCCTGGACCAGTTTCATTCCCATGTGTCAGTTTCATCTCCATAGGCTGGTTTCATGTCCATAGGTCGGTGTCATTTTCCTGGGTCAGTTTCATTTCCATGGGTCAGTTTCATGTCAATGTGTCAGTTCCATCTCCCTTGCACTCATCAGGATTACACTGCATAATCCACTTTCTTAATTTTCGCTTCCTACATTCGGTTTCTCTTCTTTCCCTCCGTCCCTCCCTCTTTCCCCCCCTCCATCCTCCCCCGACCCATCACTGCAGGCGGCATGATAGCATGCAAGGTGGCAGCAGCGGCATCGCATCGAATCATCTCCCTTGCACTCATCAGCGTCAGCGGAGGCGGCTTCGACCTGCTCCCCCGGGTATGGTTGCCCCCCTCGCACACCCCCCAAACCCCTACTCACCCACCCACTCTAACGGTATGGCGTACCCCCCCTTCTTCCTCCCACGAGTGTAGTCGCAAGGTGGCAGCAGTGGCATCGCATCGAATCATCTCTCTTGCACTTATCAGAGTCAGTGGAGGCGGCTTCGACCTGCTCCCCCGTGCAGGGTCCTCCCTATCGCCTACGGCATGATGGTGTCCGCAAGTCATTCCATCCGAGTTGACTTTTGAGTCGACTCAAGAGTCACCTTATTGCCTCGCCTACCGCATGATGGTATCCGCAAGTCGTTTTCATTCGAGGGGCTTCCTCATGTCTCTCTCTGCCGTGCCCATCCTTCCCCTCCGCCTCCCCCCGCCTCCCTCTATTCTCCACATCCGAACATTGTTCTATCAGAGACGGCCCCTCTTAATCAAATGCTCCTGTCTCCTGTACCCCTTCTCTTCTCCCCGTCTCTTCCCGCCATCACCCCAGCTAGACTCCCGAGTCTTCCCCATCGCCTACTGCCTGATGAACGCTCGAATCCCCAATCTCAGGGGTCAGGTTCTGATGCGTCTCAAAACTGTCTCCTGTGCCCCTCCTCCCACCCTTCTCTTCCTCCCGCCATCACCCCAGCTAGACTCCCGAGTCTTCTCCATTGCCTACTGCCTGATGAACGCGGAAACCCCGGAGTTATGTCGTCATGTTTCTGTCTGCCGCGCCTCCCGCCTTTCCCCCCTCTTGTCACCACCACCCGCCATCACCCCAGCTGGACTCGCGAGTCTTCTCCACTGCCTACTGCCTGATGAACGCCCGAACCCCAGAGCTGAGGCGCTTCCTGGACGCTCGTGTCTGCCATGCCCCCCTCCTCCCACCCCTCTCCCTTCATCATATCACCCCAGCTGGACTCGCGAGTCTTCTCCATCGCGTACCGCCTGCTGAACGCCCGAACACCAGAATCGAGGGCTCAGGTGGATCTTGACACGCACTTCTCGCAGGTGAGGTGGGGTGAGGCGAGGTGCGGTGAGGTGAGGTGCGGTGAGGTGAGGTGCCTTTTGAAATGTCTCAAAAAATCCAGTCGAGGTGACTTTGAGTCCACACAGACGGCTACCAACCAAGCCCCTGTGCCCTGGAGCTGAGGTCTTAGGTGGATCTGAACACACACTTCTTGCAGGTGAGGTGGTAGCTTCGTTCGACTTATTCAAATCCAAGCTGCCACATCTACTCGGGCTTTTGGTTTGGTCTACGCACACTTCTCCCAGGTGAGGTGGTAGCTTTGACTTAATGCAGTATGCGTCCGATCAAGCCTCTGGGCCTTCAAATTCAAACCAACAGCCCGAGTAGATGTGAACACGCGCTTTCCCCAGGTGCGCACTTTCATGGGGCGCCGCGAAAATTGTCTGTACATCGAGCCTCCTCAAAGATCGCACTCTCTCTCTCTCTCTCTCTCTCTCTCTCTCTCTTGTTCTCTGCTTGCCTCTCGGGTCTACCTCTCTGCTATTGAGAATTGGGGGGGAAACGGATTTCGATATAGCTTGCCTCTCGGGTCTACCTCTCTGCCTGCCAGGAGTACATGGGGGGGGAAACGGATGCAGGCAGTGGCTTGTCATGAAGAGGAAGCACAAAGGCGCCTCTCAAGCATTGCCTCAAGCATTTCCCAAAAAAGTCGCTCAAAGATCGCCCTCTCTCCCTTGCTCTCTACTTGCCTTCTCCTGCCTCTTCCCTTCTGCCTGCCAGGAGTACATGGAGGAAACGGATGCAGGCAGTGGCATGTCACGGAGAGAAGCTCTGCACATGGTATGGTATGGCTGTGGTGTGGTGTGTTGTTGTTGTGAGGTGTGGTGGGTGCTGGATTGTGAGTTGGCTTATGAGTCATCTTAAAAGGAACGGATGCAGGCAGTGGCATGTCACGGAGAGAAGCTCTGCACATGGTATGGCTGTGGTGTGGTGTGTTGTTTGTGAGCTCTGGTATGCACTGGCTGCACTGGAATGCACTGGGTATGGTATGGCATGGACAAGCTAAGGTGAGCACACGTATGTAAGGTATTCCTGCCCTTGCCATACCACCATCACTTCTCTTCCCATGGCCCCCATCCCTTCTCTTCCCATCCTCCCATCCCATCCCATCCCACCATCCCTTCTCTTCCGAATCCCCCAACCCCCCATTTTCTATCCCAGTCCAACAGGAGTATGTGCGCACCATCCGCCATGCAGAAACCCCATGGGGCGGCGAATGGACATCTGAACCGTGATTGCATGCTGGACGCCCTCTCTCACTCAACTGCTGGACCCACTCCCTCACACGCCCCCTTTCTATTCCCACCTCCCATCACCTTTTCTTCTCCTGTCAGTGCCATCCGCCATGCAGGCACCCCATGGGGCGAATGGACATCTGAATGCATGCTGGACGCACTCCCTCACTCACCATCCTCCACCTTCCATGACCCCACCCCACCCAACCCCCCATCCTCCTCAGGAGCGCGCGAGCGAGCAGTCAGCGCCAGCTGCCATGCAACACCCCACAGAGAGAGCAGGCACCTGACCTGAATGCATGCTGACGTCCTCCCTCAACTGCTGAACACACTCCCCCCCACTCCTTCACTCCCCATCTTCCTCAGGAGTATGTGCGCGAGCTGTCAGTGCCATCCGCCCCATGCCGACACCACACGGGGCGAGTGGGCATCTGAATGCGTGCTGGACTCACTCACTCACTCCCTCACTCTCTCACATGCCATGTGGGTCCTCCCCTTCCCACCCCCCTGCTTTCATCGAACAGGAGTATGTGCGCGAGCTATCAGCACCGTCCGCCATGCAGACACCCCACAAGGCGAATGGACACCTGAACGCATGCTGGACCCACTCCCTCGCTCTCCCACATGCCCCAATCTGTTTTTTGAGAATTTTCAAAAAAACTGATTCAGCATACAATTACCCACTTCCTCACTCTCCCACATGCCCGTCTTGTCACCCGCAGGAGTATGTGCGCGAGCTATCAGCACCGTCCGCCATGCAGACACCCCACGGGGCGAATGGGCACCTCAACGCATGCTGGACGCACTCCCTCACTCCCCACGATGTGGATGAGATCTGCAGCGCCCACATCCCCACCGCCGTCATTCATGGCAGGTACATCCTGTCTTCCCTCTCTTTCCTTGTCGCCTCTTCTTTCTTTTGAGTCGACTCAACTGACTTTTGAGTCGACTCAACTGACTTTTGAGTCGACTCAACTGACTTTTGAGTCGACTCAACTGACTTTTGAGTCGACTTAACTGACTTTTGAGTCGACTCAAAAGTCATTCATGGCAGGTACTTCCTGTCTTCCCTCTCTTCCCTTGTCCCCTCTTCTTTCTTCTCTCTTCCATCTACTCTTTTGTCCTTCCTGTCTTATTCTCCCTCTTCCTTCTTCATTTTTTACAAGTGGATACATAATCACACATGCTTCACCCCCACCACCCAACTCCCCCTTGAACCTCCACTCTGCCCCCTGTCTTCAGGGATGACGTCATTGCTCACATCTCATTGGGCGAAAGGGTCGCTAGAAGTCTAGGGAGGGTGGCGCGCTTCTTGCCTCTCATGGGAGCGCACATGGTGCTGCGGGAGAGAGCACACGAGGTGAGGGAGAGAGAGAGCAAATGATCTATGGCTACACGAGGTGAAGGAGAAAGCACACGAGGTGAGGGAGAGAGAGAGCAAATGATCTATGGCTACACGAGGTGAAGGAGAAAGCACACGAGGTGAGGGAGAGAGAGAGCAAATGATCTATGGCTACACGAGGTGAAGGAGAAAGCACACGAGGTGAGGGAGAGAGAGAGCAAATGATCTATGGCTACACGAGGTGAAGGAGAAAGCACACGAGGTGAGGGAGAGAGAGAGCAAATGATCTATGGCTACACGAGGTGAAGGAGAAAGCACACGAGGTGAGGGAGAGAGAGAGCAAATGATCTATGGCTACACGAGGTGAAGGAGAAAGCACACGAGGTGAGGGAGAGAGAGAGCAAATGATCTATGGCTACACGAGGTGAAGGAGAAAGCACACGAGGTGAGGGAGAGAGAGAGCAAATGATCTATGGCTACACGAGGTGAAGGAGAAAGCACACGAGGTGAGGGAGAGAGAGAGCAAATGATCTATGGCTACACGAGGTGAAGGAGAAAGCACACGAGGTGAGGGAGAGAGAGAGCAAATGATCTATGGCTACACGAGGTGAAGGAGAAAGCACACGAGGTGAGGGAGAGAGAGAGCAAATGATCTATGGCTACACGAGGTGAAGGAGAAAGCACACGAGGTGAGGGAGAGAGAGAGCAAATGATCTATGGCTACACGAGGTGAAGGAGAAAGCACACGAGGTGAGGGAGAGAGAGAGCAAATGATCTATGGCTACACGAGGTGAAGGAGAAAGCACACGAGGTGAGGGAGAGAGAGAGCAAATGATCTATGGCTACACGAGGTGAAGGAGAAAGCACACGAGGTGAGGGAGAGAGAGAGCAAATGATCTATGGCTACACGAGGTGAAGGAGAAAGCACACGAGGTGAGGGAGAGAGAGAGCAAATGATCTATGGCTACACGAGGTGAAGGAGAAAGCACACGAGGTGAGGGAGAGAGAGAGCAAATGATCTATGGCTACACGAGGTGAAGGAGAAAGCACACGAGGTGAGGGAGAGAGAGAGCAAATGATCTATGGCTACACGAGGTGAAGGAGAAAGCACACGAGGTGAGGGAGAGAGAGAGCAAATGATCTATGGCTACACGAGGTGAAGGAGAAAGCACACGAGGTGAGGGAGAGAGAGAGCAAATGATCTATGGCTACACGAGGTGAAGGAGAAAGCACACGAGGTGAGGGAGAGAGAGAGCAAATGATCTATGGCTACACGAGGTGAAGGAGAAAGCACACGAGGTGAGGGAGAGAGAGAGCAAATGATCTATGGCTACACGAGGTGAAGGAGAAAGCACACGAGGTGAGGGAGAGAGAGAGCAAATGATCTATGGCTACACGAGGTGAAGGAGAAAGCACACGAGGTGAGGGAGAGAGAGAGCAAATGATCTATGGCTACACGAGGTGAAGGAGAAAGCACACGAGGTGAGGGAGAGAGAGAGCAAATGTTCTATGGCTACACGAGGTGAAGGAGAAAGCACACGAGGTGAGGGAGAGAGAGAGCAAATGATCTATGGCTACACGAGGTGAAGGAGAAAGCACACGAGGTGAGGGAGAGAGAGAGCAAATGATCTATGGCTACACGAGGTGAAGGAGAAAGCACACGAGGTGAGGGAGAGAGAGAGCAAATGATCTATGGCTACACGAGGTGAAGGAGAAAGCACACGAGGTGAGGGAGAGAGAGAGCAAATGATCTATGGCTACACGAGGTGAAGGAGAAAGCACACGAGGTGAGGGAGAGAGAGAGCAAATGATCTATGGCTACACGAGGTGAAGGAGAAAGCACACGAGGTGAGGGAGAGAGAGAGCAAATGATCTATGGCTACACGAGGTGAAGGAGAAAGCACACGAGGTGAGGGAGAGAGAGAGCAAATGATCTATGGCTACACGAGGTGAAGGAGAAAGCACACGAGGTGAGGGAGAGAGAGAGCAAATGATCTATGGCTACACGAGGTGAAGGAGAAAGCACACGAGGTGAGGGAGAGAGAGAGCAAATGATCTATGGCTACACGAGGTGAAGGAGAAAGCACACGAGGTGAGGGAGAGAGAGAGCAAATGATCTATGGCTACACGAGGTGAAGGAGAAAGCACACGAGGTGAGGGAGAGAGAGAGCAAATGATCTATGGCTACACGAGGTGAAGGAGAAAGCACACGAGGTGAGGGAGAGAGAGAGCAAATGATCTATGGCTACACGAGGTGAAGGAGAAAGCACACGAGGTGAGGGAGAGAGAGAGCAAATGATCTATGGCTACACGAGGTGAAGGAGAAAGCACACGAGGTGAGGGAGAGAGAGAGCAAATGATCTATGGCTACACGAGGTGAAGGAGAAAGCACACGAGGTGAGGGAGAGAGAGAGCAAATGATCTATGGCTACACGAGGTGAAGGAGAAAGCACACGAGGTGAGGGAGAGAGAGAGCAAATGATCTATGGCTACACGAGGTGAAGGAGAAAGCACACGAGGTGAGGGAGAGAGAGAGCAAATGATCTATGGCTACACGAGGTGAAGGAGAAAGCACACGAGGTGAGGGAGAGAGAGAGCAAATGATCTATGGCTACACGAGGTGAAGGAGAAAGCACACGAGGTGAGGGAGAGAGAGAGCAAATGATCTATGGCTACACGAGGTGAAGGAGAAAGCACACGAGGTGAGGGAGAGAGAGAGCAAATGATCTATGGCTACACGAGGTGAAGGAGAAAGCACACGAGGTGAGGGAGAGAGAGAGCAAATGATCTATGGCTACACGAGGTGAAGGAGAAAGCACACGAGGTGAGGGAGAGAGAGAGCAAATGATCTATGGCTACACGAGGTGAAGGAGAAAGCACACGAGGTGAGGGAGAGAGAGAGAGCAAATGATCTATGGCTACACGAGGTGAAGGAGAAAGCACACGAGGTGAGGGAGAGAGAGAGCAAATGTTCTATGGCTACACGAGGTGAAGGAGAAAGCACACGAGGTGAGGGAGAGAGAGAGCAAATGATCTATGGCTACACGAGGTGAAGGAGAAAGCACACGAGGTGAGGGAGAGAGAGAGCAAATGATCTATGGCTACACGAGGTGAAGGAGAAAGCACACGAGGTGAGGGAGAGAGAGAGCAAATGATCTATGGCTACACGAGGTGAAGGAGAAAGCACACGAGGTGAGGGAGAGAGAGAGCAAATGATCTATGGCTACACGAGGTGAAGGAGAAAGCACACGAGGTGAGGGAGAGAGAGAGCAAATGATCTATGGCTACACGAGGTGAAGGAGAAAGCACACGAGGTGAGGGAGAGAGAGAGCAAATGATCTATGGCTACACGAGGTGAAGGAGAAAGCACACGAGGTGAGGGAGAGAGAGAGCAAATGATCTATGGCTACACGAGGTGAAGGAGAAAGCACACGAGGTGAGGGAGAGAGAGAGCAAATGATCTATGGCTACACGAGGTGAAGGAGAAAGCACACGAGGTGAGGGAGAGAGAGAGCAAATGATCTATGGCTACACGAGGTGAAGGAGAAAGCACACGAGGTGAGGGAGAGAGAGAGCAAATGATCTATGGCTACACGAGGTGAAGGAGAAAGCACACGAGGTGAGGGAGAGAGAGAGCAAATGATCTATGGCTACACGAGGTGAAGGAGAAAGCACACGAGGTGAGGGAGAGAGAGAGCAAATGATCTATGGCTACACGAGGTGAAGGAGAAAGCACACGAGGTGAGGGAGAGAGAGAGCAAATGATCTATGGCTACACGAGGTGAAGGAGAAAGCACACGAGGTGAGGGAGAGAGAGAGCAAATGATCTATGGCTACACGAGGTGAAGGAGAAAGCACACGAGGTTAGGGAGAAAGAGAGAAAATTATCTATGGCTACACGAGGTGAAGGAGAAAGCACACGAGGTGAGGGAGAGAGAGAGCAAATGATCTATGGCTACACGAGGTGAAGGAGAAAGCACACGAGGTGAGGGAGAGAGAGAGCAAATGATCTATGGCTACACGAGGTGAAGGAGAAAGCACACGAGGTGAGGGAGAGAGAGAGCAAATGATCTATGGCTACACGAGGTGAAGGAGAAAGCACACGAGGTGAGGGAGAGAGAGAGCAAATGATCTATGGCTACACGAGGTGAAGGAGAAAGCACACGAGGTGAGGGAGAGAGAGAGCAAATGATCTATGGCTACACGAGGTGAAGGAGAAAGCACACGAGGTGAGGGAGAGAGAGAGCAAATGATCTATGGCTACACGAGGTGAAGGAGAAAGCACACGAGGTGAGGGAGAGAGAGAGCAAATGATCTATGGCTACACGAGGTGAAGGAGAAAGCACACGAGGTGAGGGAGAGAGAGAGCAAATGTTCTATGGCTACACGAGGTGAAGGAGAAAGCACACGAGGTGAGGGAGAGAGAGAGCAAATGATCTATGGCTACACGAGGTGAAGGAGAAAGCACACGAGGTGAGGGAGAGAGAGAGCAAATGATCTATGGCTACACGAGGTGAAGGAGAAAGCACACGAGGTGAGGGAGAGAGAGAGCAAATGATCTATGGCTACACGAGGTGAAGGAGAAAGCACACGAGGTGAGGGAGAGAGAGAGCAAATGATCTATGGCTACACGAGGTGAAGGAGAAAGCACACGAGGTGAGGGAGAGAGAGAGCAAATGATCTATGGCTACACGAGGTGAAGGAGAAAGCACACGAGGTGAGGGAGAGAGAGAGCAAATGATCTATGGCTACACGAGGTGAAGGAGAAAGCACACGAGGTGAGGGAGAGAGAGAGCAAATGATCTATGGCTACACGAGGTGAAGGAGAAAGCACACGAGGTGAGGGAGAGAGAGAGCAAATGATCTATGGCTACACGAGGTGAAGGAGAAAGCACACGAGGTGAGGGAGAGAGAGAGCAAATGATCTATGGCTACACGAGGTGAAGGAGAAAGCACACGAGGTGAGGGAGAGAGAGAGCAAATGATCTATGGCTACACGAGGTGAAGGAGAAAGCACACGAGGTGAGGGAGAGAGAGAGCAAATGATCTATGGCTACACGAGGTGAAGGAGAAAGCACACGAGGTGAGGGAGAGAGAGAGCAAATGATCTATGGCTACACGAGGTGAAGGAGAAAGCACACGAGGTGAGGGAGAGAGAGAGCAAATGATCTATGGCTACACGAGGTGAAGGAGAAAGCACACGAGGTGAGGGAGAGAGAGAGCAAATGATCTATGGCTACACGAGGTGAAGGAGAAAGCACACGAGGTGAGGGAGAGAGAGAGCAAATGATCTATGGCTACACGAGGTGAAGGAGAAAGCACACGAGGTGAGGGAGAGAGAGAGAAAATGATCTATGGCTAGACGAGGTGAAGGAGAAAGCACACGAGGTGAGGGAGAGAGAGAGCAAATGATCTATGGCTACACGAGGTGAAGGAGAAAGCACACGAGGTGAGGGAGAGAGAGAGCAAATGATCTATGGCTACACGAGGTGAAGGAGAAAGCACACGAGGTGAGGGAGAGAGAGAGCAAATGATCTATGGCTACACGAGGTGAAGGAGAAAGCACACGAGGTGAGGGAGAGAGAGAGCAAATGATCTATGGCTACACGAGGTGAAGGAGAAAGCACACGAGGTGAGGGAGAGAGAGAGCAAATGATCTATGGCTACACGAGGTGAAGGAGAAAGCACACGAGGTGAGGGAGAGAGAGAGCAAATGATCTATGGCTACACGAGGTGAAGGAGAAAGCACACGAGGTGAGGGAGAGAGAGAGCAAATGATCTATGGCTACACGAGGTGAAGGAGAAAGCACACGAGGTGAGGGAGAGAGAGAGCAAATGTTCTATGGCTACACGAGGTGAAGGAGAAAGCACACGAGGTGAGGGAGAGAGAGAGCAAATGATCTATGGCTACACGAGGTGAAGGAGAAAGCACACGAGGTGAGGGAGAGAGAGAGCAAATGATCTATGGCTACACGAGGTGAAGGAGAAAGCACACGAGGTGAGGGAGAGAGAGAGCAAATGATCTATGGCTACACGAGGTGAAGGAGAAAGCACACGAGGTGAGGGAGAGAGAGAGCAAATGATCTATGGCTACACGAGGTGAAGGAGAAAGCACACGAGGTGAGGGAGAGAGAGAGCAAATGATCTATGGCTACACGAGGTGAAGGAGAAAGCACACGAGGTGAGGGAGAGAGAGAGCAAATGATCTATGGCTACACGAGGTGAAGGAGAAAGCACACGAGGTGAGGGAGAGAGAGAGCAAATGATCTATGGCTACACGAGGTGAAGGAGAAAGCACACGAGGTGAGGGAGAGAGAGAGCAAATGATCTATGGCTACACGAGGTGAAGGAGAAAGCACACGAGGTGAGGGAGAGAGAGAGCAAATGATCTATGGCTACACGAGGTGAAGGAGAAAGCACACGAGGTGAGGGAGAGAGAGAGCAAATGATCTATGGCTACACGAGGTGAAGGAGAAAGCACACGAGGTGAGGGAGAGAGAGAGCAAATGATCTATGGCTACACGAGGTGAAGGAGAAAGCACACGAGGTGTGTCAATAGGGAGGGTGGCGCGCTTCTTGCCTCTCATGGGAGCGCACATGGTGCTGCGGGAACGAGCACACGAGGTGTGTTAAAAGGTGGTGAGAGCACATGAGGTGTGTTAAAAGGTGGTGAGAGCACATGAGGTGTGTTAAAGGTAGTGAGACCACACGAGGTGTGTTAAAAGGTGGTGAGAGCACACGAGGTGTGTTAAAAGGTGGTGAGAGCACATGAGGTGTCTTAAAAGGTGGTGGGAACACATGAGGTGTGTTAAAAGGTGGTGAGAGCACATGAGGTGTGTTAAAGGTAGTGAGACCAAACGAGGTGTGTTAAAAGGTGGTGAGAGCACACGAGGTGTGTTAAAAGGTGGTGAGAGCACATGAGGTGTGTTAAAGGTAGTGAGACCACACGAGGTGTGTTAAAAGGTGGTGAGAGCACACGAGGTGTGTTAAAAGGTGGTGAGAGCACATGAGGTGTCTTAAAAGGTGGTGGGAACACATGAGATGTGTTAAAAGGTGGTGAGAGCACATGAGGTGTGTTAAAAGGTAGTGAGACCACATGAGGTGTGTTAAAAGGTGGTGAGAGCACATGAGGTGTGTTAAAAGGTGGTGAGAGCACATGAGGTGTGTTAAAAGGTGGTGAGAGCACATGAGGTGTGTTAAAGGTAGTGAGACCACACGAGGTGTGTTAAAAGGTGGTGAGAGCACACGAGGTGTGTTAAAAGGTGGTGAGAGCACATGAGGTGTCTTAAAAGGTGGTGGGAACACATGAGGTGTGTTAAAAGGTGGTGAGACCACACGAGGTGTGTTAAAAGGTGGTGAGAGCACACGAGGTGTGTTAAAAGGTGGTGAGAGCACATGAGGTGTCTTAAAAGGTGGTGGGAACACATGAGGTGTGTTAAAAGGTGGTGAGAGCACATGAGGTGTGTTAAAAGGTAGTGAGACCACATGAGGTGTGTTAAAAGGTGGTGAGAGCACATGAGGTGTGTTAAAAGGTGGTGAGAGCACATGAGGTGTGTTAAAAGGTGGTGAGAGCACATGAGGTGTGTTAAAGGTAGTGAGACCACACGAGGTGTGTTAAAAGGTGGTGAGAGCACACGAGGTGTGTTAAAAGGTGGTGAGAGCACATGAGGTGTCTTAAAAGGTGGTGGGAACACATGAGGTGTAATAAAAGGTGGTGAGACCACACGAGGTGTGTTAAAAGGTGGTGAGAGCACACGAGGTGTGTTAAAAGGTGGTGAGAGCACATGAGGTGTCTTAAAAGGTGGTGGGAACACATGAGGTGTGTTAAAAGGTGGTGAGAGCACATGAGGTGTGTTGAAAGGTAGTGAGACCACATGAGGTGTGTTAAAAGGTAGTGAGACCACATGAGGTGTGTTAAAAGGTGGCGAGAGCACATGAGGTGTGTTAAAAGGTGGTGAGAGCACATGAGGTGTGTTAAAGGTAGTGAGACCACACGAGGTGTGTTAAAAGGTGGTGAGAGCACACGAGGTGTGTTAAAAGGTGGTGAGAGCACATGAGGTGTCTTAAAAGGTGGTGGGAACACATGAGGTGTGTTAAAAGGTGGTGAGACCACACGAGGTGTGTTAAAAGGTGGTGAGAGCACACGAGGTGTGTTAAAAGGTGGTGAGAGCACATGAGGTGTCTTAAAAGGTGGTGGGAACACATGAGGTGTGTTAAAAGGTGGTGAGAGCACATGAGGTGTGTTAAAAGGTAGTGAGACCACATGAGGTGTGTTAAAAGGTAGTGAGACCACATGAGGTGTGTTAAAAGGTGGCGAGAGCACATGAGGTGTGTTAAAAGGTGGCGAGAGCACATGAGGTGTGTTAAAGGTAGTGAGACCACACGAGGTGTGTTACAAGGTGGTGAGAGCACACGAGGTTTGTTAAAAGGTGGTGAGAGCACATGAGGTGTCTTAAAAGGTGGTGGGAACACATGAGGTGTGTTAAAAGGTGGTGAGACCACACGAGGTGTGTTAAAAGGTGGTGAGAGCACACGAGGTGTGTTAAAAGGTGGTGAGAGCACATGAGGTGTCTTAAAAGGTGGTGGGAACACACGAGGTGTGTTAAAAGGTGGTGAGAGCACATGAGGTGTCTTAAAAGGTGGTGGGAACACATGAGGTGTGTTAAAAGGTGGTGAGAGCACATGAGGTGTGTTAAAAGGTAGTGGGACCACATGAGGTGTGTTAAAAGGTGGCGAGAGCACATGAGGTGTGTTAAAAGGTGGCGAGAGCACATGAGGTGTGTTAAAAGGTGGTGGGAGCACATGAGGTGTGTTAAAAGGTGGTGGGAGCACATGAGGTGTGTTAAAAGGTGGTGGGAGCACATGAGGTGTGTGAAAAGGAGGTGAGGGTGAGAGTACGAGGTGTGTTAGTGCACGAGAGGGTGGCACGGTTCCTGCCTCTCATGGGAGGGAGCACACATGGTAATGCGGGAGAGAGCAGGTGGTGAGGGGGAGAGAGCAGGTGGTGAGGGGGAGAGAGCAGGTGGTGAGGGGGAGAGAGCAGGTGGTGAGGGGGAGAGAGCAGGTGGTGAGGGGGAGAGAGCAGGTGGTGAGGGGGAGAGAGCAGGTGGTGAGGGGGAGAGAGCAGGTGGTGAGGGGGAGAGAGCAGGTGGTGAGGGGGAGAGAGCAGGTGGTGAGGGGGAGAGAGCAGGTGGTGAGGGGGAGAGAGCAGGTGGTGAGGGGGAGAGAGCAGGTGGTGAGGGGGAGAGAGCAGGTGGTGAGGGGGAGAGAGCAGGTGGTGAGGGGGAGAGAGCAGGTGGTGAGGGGGAGAGAGCAGGTGGTGAGGGGGAGAGAGCAGGTGGTGAGGGGGAGAGAGCAGGTGGTGAGGGGGAGAGAGCAGGTGGTGAGGGGGAGAGAGCAGGTGGTGAGGGGGAGAGAGCAGGTGGTGAGGGGGAGAGAGCAGGTGGTGAGGGGGAGAGAGCAGGTGGTGAGGGGGAGAGAGCAGGTGGTGAGGGGGAGAGAGCAGGTGGTGAGGGGGAGAGAGCAGGTGGTGAGGGGGAGAGAGCAGGTGGTGAGGGGGAGAGAGCAGGTGGTGAGGGGGAGAGAGCAGGTGGTGAGGGGGAGAGAGCAGGTGGTGAGGGGGAGAGAGCAGGTGGTGAGGGGGAGAGAGCAGGTGGTGAGGGGGAGAGAGCAGGTGGTGAGGGGGAGAGAGCAGGTGGTGAGGGGGAGAGAGCAGGTGGTGAGGGGGAGAGAGCAGGTGGTGAGGGGGAGAGAGCAGGTGGTGAGGGGGAGAGAGCAGGTGGTGAGGGGGAGAGAGCAGGTGGTGAGGGGGAGAGAGCAGGTGGTGAGGGGGAGAGAGCAGGTGGTGAGGGGGAGAGAGCAGGTGGTGAGGGGGAGAGAGCAGGTGGTGAGGGGGAGAGAGCAGGTGGTGAGGGGGAGAGAGCAGGTGGTGAGGGGGAGAGAGCAGGTGGTGAGGGGGAGAGAGCAGGTGGTGAGGGGGAGAGAGCAGGTGGTGAGGGGGAGAGAGCAGGTGGTGAGGGGGAGAGAGCAGGTGGTGAGGGGGAGAGAGCAGGTGGTGAGGGGGAGAGAGCAGGTGGTGAGGGGGAGAGAGCAGGTGGTGAGGGGGAGAGAGCAGGTGGTGAGGGGGAGAGAGCAGGTGGTGAGGGGGAGAGAGCAGGTGGTGAGGGGGAGAGAGCAGGTGGTGAGGGAGAGAGAGCAGGTGGTGAGGGAGAGAGAGCAGGTGGTGAGGGAGAGAGAGCAGGTGGTGAGGGAGAGAGAGCAGGTGGTGAGGGGGAGAGAGCAGGTGGTGAGGGGGAGAGAGCAGGTGGTGAGGGAGAGAGAGCAGGTGGTGAGGGAGAGAGAGCAGGTGGTGAGGGAGAGAGAGCAGGTGGTGAGGGAGAGAGAGCAGGTGGTGAGGGAGAGAGAGCAGGTGGTGAGGGAGAGAGAGCAGGTGGTGAGGGAGAGAGAGCAGGTGGTGAGGGAGAGAGAGCAGGTGGTGAGGGAGAGAGAGCAGGTGGTGAGGGAGAGAGAGCAGGTGGTGAGGGAGAGAGAGCAGGTGGTGAGGGAGAGAGAGCAGGTGGTGAGGGAGAGAGAGCAGGTGGTGAGGGAGAGAGAGCAGGTGGTGAGGGGGAGAGAGCAGGTGGTGAGGGGGAGAGAGCAGGTGGTGAGGGAGAGAGAGCAGGTGGTGAGGGAGAGAGAGCAGGTGGTGAGGGGGAGAGAGCAGGTGGTGAGGGGGAGAGAGCAGGTGGTGAGGGAGAGAGAGCAGGTGGTGAGGGAGAGAGAGCAGGTGGTGAGGGAGAGAGAGCAGGTGGTGAGGGAGAGAGAGCAGGTGGTGAGGGAGAGAGAGCAGGTGGTGAGGGAGAGAGAGCAGGTGGTGAGGGAGAGAGAGCAGGTGGTGAGGGAGAGAGAGCAGGTGGTGAGGGAGAGAGAGCAGGTGGTGAGGGAGAGAGAGCAGGTGGTGAGGGAGAGAGAGCAGGTGGTGAGGGAGAGAGAGCAGGTGGTGAGGGAGAGAGAGCAGGTGGTGAGGGAGAGAGAGCAGGTGGTGAGGGAGAGAGAGCAGGTGGTGAGGGGGAGAGAGCAGGTGGTGAGGGGGAGAGAGCAGGTGGTGAGGGAGAGAGAGCAGGTGGTGAGGGAGAGAGAGCAGGTGGTGAGGGAGAGAGAGCAGGTGGTGAGGGAGAGAGAGCAGGTGGTGAGGGAGAGAGAGCAGGTGGTGAGGGAGAGAGAGCAGGTGGTGAGGGAGAGAGAGCAGGTGGTGAGGGAGAGAGAGCAGGTGGTGAGGGGGAGAGAGCAGGTGGTGAGGGGGAGAGAGCAGGTGGTGAGGGAGAGAGAGCAGGTGGTGAGGGAGAGAGAGCAGGTGGTGAGGGAGAGAGAGCAGGTGGTGAGGGGGAGAGAGCAGGTGGTGAGGGGGAGAGAGCAGGTGGTGAGGGGGAGAGAGCAGGTGGTGAGGGGGAGAGAGCAGGTGGTGAGGGGGAGAGAGCAGGTGGTGAGGGGGAGAGAGCAGGTGGTGAGGGGGAGAGAGCAGGTGGTGAGGGGGAGAGAGCAGGTGGTGAGGGGGAGAGAGCAGGTGGTGAGGGGGAGAGAGCAGGTGGTGAGGGGGAGAGAGCAGGTGGTGAGGGGGAGAGAGCAGGTGGTGAGGGGGAGAGAGCAGGTGGTGAGGGGGAGAGAGCAGGTGGTGAGGGGGAGAGAGCAGGTGGTGAGGGGGAGAGAGCAGGTGGTGAGGGGGAGAGAGCAGGTGGTGAGGGAGAGAGAGCAGGTGGTGAGGGAGAGAGAGCAGGTGGTGAGGGAGAGAGAGCAGGTGGTGAGGGAGAGAGAGCAGGTGGTGAGGGGGAGAGAGCAGGTGGTGAGGGGGAGAGAGCAGGTGGTGAGGGAGAGAGAGCAGGTGGTGAGGGAGAGAGAGCAGGTGGTGAGGGAGAGAGAGCAGGTGGTGAGGGAGAGAGAGCAGGTGGTGAGGGAGAGAGAGCAGGTGGTGAGGGAGAGAGAGCAGGTGGTGAGGGAGAGAGAGCAGGTGGTGAGGGAGAGAGAGCAGGTGGTGAGGGAGAGAGAGCAGGTGGTGAGGGAGAGAGAGCAGGTGGTGAGGGAGAGAGAGCAGGTGGTGAGGGAGAGAGAGCAGGTGGTGAGGGAGAGAGAGCAGGTGGTGAGGGAAAGAGAGCAGGTGGTGAGGGGGAGAGAGCAGGTGGTGAGGGGAGAGAGCAGGTGGTGAGGGAGAGAGAGCAGGTGGTGAGGGAGAGAGAGCAGGTGGTGAGGGAGAGAGAGCAGGTGGTGAGGGAGAGAGAGCAGGTGGTGAGGGAGAGAGAGCAGGTGGTGAGGGAGAGAGAGCAGGTGGTGAGGGAGAGAGAGCAGGTGGTGAGGGAGAGAGAGCAGGTGGTGAGGGGGAGAGAGCAGGTGGTGAGGGGGAGAGAGCAGGTGGTGAGGGAGAGAGAGCAGGTGGTGAGGGAGAGAGAGCAGGTGGTGAGGGAGAGAGAGCAGGTGGTGAGGGGGAGAGAGCAGATGGTGAGGGGGAGAGAGCAGGTGGTGAGGGGGAGAGAGCAGGTGGTGAGGGAGAGAGAGCAGGTGGTGAGGGAGAGAGAGCAGGTGGTGAGGGAGAGAGAGCAGGTGGTGAGGGGGAGAGAGCAGGTGGTGAGGGAGAGAGAGCAGGTGGTGAGGGGGAGAGAGCAGGTGTTGAGGGGGAGAGAGCAGGTGGTGAGGGGGAGAGAGCAGGTGGTGAGGGGGAGAGAGCAGGTGGTGAGGGAGAGAGAGCAGGTGGTGAGGGAGAGAGAGCAGGTGGTGAGGGAGAGAGAGCAGGTGGTGAGGGAGAGAGAGCAGGTGGTGAGGGAGAGAGAGCAGGTGGTGAGGGAGAGAGAGCAGGTGGTGAGGGGGAGAGAGCAGGTGGTGAGGGGGAGAGAGCAGGTGGTGAGGGAGAGAGAGCAGGTGGTGAGGGAGAGAGAGCAGGTGGTGAGGGAGAGAGAGCAGGTGGTGAGGGGGAGAGAGCAGGTGGTGAGGGAGAGAGAGCAGGTGGTGAGGGAGAGAGAGCAGGTGGTGAGGGGGAGAGAGCAGGTGGTGAGGGAGAGAGAGCAGGTGGTGAGGGAGAGAGAGCAGGTGGTGAGGGAGAGAGAGCAGGTGGTGAGGGAGAGAGAGCAGGTGGTGAGGGAGAGAGAGCAGGTGGTGAGGGAGAGAGAGCAGGTGGTGAGGGGGAGAGAGCAGGTGGTGAGGGAGAGAGAGCAGGTGGTGAGGGAGAGAGAGCAGGTGGTGAGGGGGAGAGAGCAGGTGGTGAGGGGGAGAGAGCAGGTGGTGAGGGAGAGAGAGCAGGTGGTGAGGGAGAGAGAGCAGGTGGTGAGGGAGAGAGAGCAGGTGGTGAGGGAGAGAGAGCAGGTGGTGAGGGGGAGAGAGCAGGTGGTGAGGGGGAGAGAGCAGGTGGTGAGGGAGAGAGAGCAGGTGGTGAGGGAGAGAGAGCAGGTGGTGAGGGAGAGAGAGCAGGTGGTGAGGGAGAGAGAGCAGGTGGTGAGGGAGAGAGAGCAGGTGGTGAGGGAGAGAGAGCAGGTGGTGAGGGAGAGAGAGCAGGTGGTGAGGGAGAGAGAGCAGGTGGTGAGGGAGAGAGAGCAGGTGGTGAGGGAGAGAGAGCAGGTGGTGAGGGAGAGAGAGCAGGTGGTGAGGGAGAGAGAGCAGGTGGTGAGGGAGAGAGAGCAGGTGGTGAGGGAGAGAGAGCAGGTGGTGAGGGGGAGAGAGCAGGTGGTGAGGGGGAGAGAGCAGGTGGTGAGGGAGAGAGAGCAGGTGGTGAGGGAGAGAGAGCAGGTGGTGAGGGAGAGAGAGCAGGTGGTGAGGGAGAGAGAGCAGGTGGTGAGGGAGAGAGAGCAGGTGGTGAGGGAGAGAGAGCAGGTGGTGAGGGAGAGAGAGCAGGTGGTGAGGGAGAGAGAGCAGGTGGTGAGGGGAGAGAGCAGGTGGTGAGGGGAGAGAGCAGGTGGTGAGGGGGAGAGAGCAGGTGGTGAGGGAGAGAGAGCAGGTGGTGAGGGAGAGAGAGCAGGTGGTGAGGGAGAGAGAGCAGGTGGTGAGGGGGAGAGAGCAGGTGGTGAGGGGGAGAGAGCAGGTGGTGAGGGGGAGAGAGCAGGTGGTGAGGGAGAGAGAGCAGGTGGTGAGGGAGAGAGAGCAGGTGGTGAGGGAGAGAGAGCAGGTGGTGAGGGGGAGAGAGCAGGTGGTGAGGGAGAGAGAGCAGGTGGTGAGGGGGAGAGAGCAGGTGTTGAGGGGGAGAGAGCAGGTGGTGAGGGGGAGAGAGCAGGTGGTGAGGGGGAGAGAGCAGGTGGTGAGGGAGAGAGAGCAGGTGGTGAGGGAGAGAGAGCAGGTGGTGAGGGAGAGAGAGCAGGTGGTGAGGGAGAGAGAGCAGGTGGTGAGGGAGAGAGAGCAGGTGGTGAGGGAGAGAGAGCAGGTGGTGAGGGGGAGAGAGCAGGTGGTGAGGGGGAGAGAGCAGGTGGTGAGGGAGAGAGAGCAGGTGGTGAGGGAGAGAGAGCAGGTGGTGAGGGAGAGAGAGCAGGTGGTGAGGGGGAGAGAGCAGGTGGTGAGGGAGAGAGAGCAGGTGGTGAGGGAGAGAGAGCAGGTGGTGAGGGGGAGAGAGCAGGTGGTGAGGGAGAGAGAGCAGGTGGTGAGGGAGAGAGAGCAGGTGGTGAGGGAGAGAGAGCAGGTGGTGAGGGAGAGAGAGCAGGTGGTGAGGGAGAGAGAGCAGGTGGTGAGGGAGAGAGAGCAGCTGGTGAGGGGGAGAGAGCAGGTGGTGAGGGAGAGAGAGCAGGTGGTGAGGGAGAGAGAGCAGGTGGTGAGGGGGAGAGAGCAGGTGGTGAGGGAGAGAGAGCAGGTGGTGAGGGAGAGAGAGCAGGTGGTGAGGGGGAGAGAGCAGGTGGTGAGGGAGAGAGAGCAGGTGGTGAGGGAGAGAGAGCAGGTGGTGAGGGAGAGAGAGCAGGTGGTGAGGGAGAGAGAGCAGGTGGTGAGGGAGAGAGAGCAGGTGGTGAGGGAGAGAGAGCAGGTGGTGAGGGAGAGAGAGCAGGTGGTGAGGGAGAGAGAGCAGGTGGTGAGGGAGAGAGAGCAGGTGGTGAGGGAGAGAGAGCAGGTGGTGAGGGAGAGAGAGCAGGTGGTGAGGGAGAGAGAGCAGGTGGTGAGGGAGAGAGAGCAGGTGGTGAGGGAGAGAGAGCAGGTGGTGAGGGAGAGAGAGCAGGTGGTGAGGGAGAGAGAGCAGGTGGTGAGGGAGAGAGAGCAGGTGGTGAGGGGGAGAGAGCAGGTGGTGAGGGGGAGAGAGCAGGTGGTGAGGGAGAGAGAGCAGGTGGTGAGGGAGAGAGAGCAGGTGGTGAGGGAGAGAGAGCAGGTGGTGAGGGAGAGAGAGCAGGTGGTGAGGGGGAGAGAGCAGGTGGTGAGGGGGAGAGAGCAGGTGGTGAGGGGGAGAGAGCAGGTGGTGAGGGAGAGAGAGCAGGTGGTGAGGGAGAGAGAGCAGGTGGTGAGGGAGAGAGAGCAGGTGGTGAGGGAGAGAGAGCAGGTGGTGAGGGAGAGAGAGCAGGTGGTGAGGGAGAGAGAGCAGGTGGTGAGGGAGAGAGAGCAGGTGGTGAGGGGGAGAGAGCAGGTGGTGAGGGGGAGAGAGCAGGTGGTGAGGGAGAGAGAGCAGGTGGTGAGGGAGAGAGAGCAGGTGGTGAGGGAGAGAGAGCAGGTGGAGCGCTACACGCATTGAGGTGTATTTTGAGGCGCCTCAAAATACAGGCATTGCCCATTCAATCTTCTTCTTCCTTTCCTGTCCCCTCCGTGCCAGCAACAGGTGAACGCGTGTCTGGCTGTGCTGATGCAGGTGGCAGAGAGGAGAGTACCAGTGGAGAAGTGGGTGAAGCCTTACTGCAGGGACCACAGGCCGTCTTTCCTCATTGAAACTCCTTTCATTTTCCTTCCCCACCTCAGGCGAACGCGTGTCTGGCTGTGCTGATGGAGGTTGCAGAGAGGAGGGTGATGGTGGAGGAGAGGTGATGGGTGGACAGGATTTTTTCACCTCATTGACAGTCTCTTTATCCCCTCTCCTCCCCACCACAGGTGAATGCGTGTCTCGATGTGCTGATGGAGGTGGCTGAGAGGAGAGTACCAGTGGAGGAGTGGGTGGAGAGCTACAGAGACGACAGACTGCCTGCTCCTGCCACGTGGCAGAATGAGATTGGACGTAGCAGCTCCCAAGGTAGGTGGTGGTGTTACCTGACTGCTTTTCTTTTCACTTTCTGGCACATATTCTGTCACATGCACCAGTAGTTGTATGTGTAGAGAGGGTAGACGTCTCAAAAATACACCCTCTACACGTACCTGACTGCCTTTCTTTTCACTCTCTGGCACATATTCTGTTGCATGCACCTGTAGTTGAATGTTCATATGAGCACACTAAACACCTACATTCATCAACATGCCAAAACGCATGCATTCATGCATGCAGTGAATTGTATCTTATGCATGCTCAAATGTCTACGGTACATGACATGGTGTGCTCATTTCGGCACCAATTTTTCAGTTTGCTTTTTGCGGTTCAAAATTCCTGGGCTTTTGAAGCACCTCGAAATCCACACGAGGGCTCGTACATCCAGTGCACATGACCTGAGGTGCTGCTTCCCACACTTATTTGCCGTTCGCTTCGCCTTCCCTCTACCTGCCCTCCCTCCCCCCCCCCCCCTCCTCTCTTCAGACTTCATGAACCCATTTTTCCAGTTCCCCTCTCAGTGGTTTCAGCCTGAAACGTGGACGCTGTTTAGCAGAGCATGGGCGTGACAGGGCTTTTGCTGGTACAGAGGGAACTTTACACTAAATCAATCTATGCCTTTTCTCACTACTGTGCGGGCAAAGCCACATATGCTCTGCCGTGTGTGGTCTCATTATTATTTTGTAAGAGGTTTGGAACCAAACTGTTTGCTACACTGTCACCTACCAGTGCCTGTGCCCCTCCAGCTATTGGTTCTCTGGCAGGCCAAAGCCAGGAGGGTAAGAAGCAATACATGCTATGTGGTAGCTGCATAGAGGTGCTCTTTTAATGAAAAAATGGGTTTTCTGAGTATCGTTTCGAAGTTTTTGCAGAAAATTACGTAATGTGCAATCGCCAAAACGCTGCATATTTGCAGCGAATACATGTGTTTTTTTATAGCTGAACGATGTATACGTGAATATCGGTGTGTACCATCGATACGTTTCTCGATTCTTCGATAACGAAAACATTTCTATAAAGCGCATGTTCAGCGAATTCCAAATTCCTGCTTGTCCTCGAGCTTGTCCCACCTTGTCCTCCCCTTCTTCACACGAGCCAAAGCTGGAGATTAGGGTTTTGGCCTTCAGTTTCGAGCTCATTGCTACCCTCGCTTGTGTGTGTGGGATTCTGCGCGAGTCCTTTCGTAAAGCTCGCTTCCAGTTCGGTTCCACCTGGCTTCCACGCCTTAGTCGCATAAAAGCTTCATTTCTGTTCCCGGAGTTCCACGCACCCGGCGATTAGCGTTCTGTTCTGCAGTTTACACGTGCGATCGGCGTTGGAAGTACCAGGATCTCTGACCTGGAATAATTAGTGGAAAGCCACTTGCCAGCTGAAAACGATCGCGGATCGACGTTTTTGGCGGCGCGGTTACTGGCGTGCGGATAAAGTTTCTGGTTGTGGTTAGCCGGAAGCGCCAGTAGTCGCAACGGCGTTACATTTTCTCGTTTTGGTCAGCTTCAGAAGCCGCCGTGCGGAAAGGCGAGCATCTGAGTGACGTAACGGTCTGCCTGCTGAACGATTCGACCTTAAAGTATTTAGATTCGGCTACTCGTCTGTCTCTTACGCGAAATTTGGATACTGCTGGATAGGAACGTCGTCGATTAGGAAGGAAAAAGGAAACCGACTTGGCCGTCGTAGGGTGTCGTCAACCGTCGTTGACCGCGTTAACCGTTGTTAACCGTCGTTGACCGTTACCGGCAGCCATGGGGACCATCACGCAGAAGATCAAAGACATTGAAGATGAGGTGCGTGTTTGCTCTGCATTGATGCCTCTTATATCGAGGACATGTGGATCTTGGGATTCGCTTCACACCGAGATTCAAGAGATTTGAATGTGAGAATTAGTAGTGATTGGACGTGACGTGACGGAAGGTGAATGAAGCATCGGAGCGGGTGGATGCAAAATGTCCATGTGCGCGAGGTTACGAGTACGTTGATAAGTACATGCTTGCTATGTTATATGGTACTAAGAATCTCTCTCCGTGTGCGTGTGTACTCGTGTGCTCGTACGCTCCTGTGCTCTCACACTTGCAGATGGCTCGCACGCAGAAGAACAAGGCAACAGCACACCACTTGGGCCTGCTCAAGGTGAGCTGTTATCCTTTTCGGGGCTTATAACAAGGAGTATATAGTTTCAGATTTACCAGTTGGCGCTACAAGGCAACATCACATCACTGTGCTGCTCCCCGTGTTTCGAAGTAATCTCCGTTTTGCCCTCTTTCCCCCTCGTTTTCTTTCCAACCCTTCAGCGGTAGTGAAAATAGAAAACGTAATTTCAACCATCTTTCCGTCCTCCTCATCTTCCTCTTCCCTCATCACTGCAGGCCAAGCTGGCGAAGCTTCGACGAGAGATCCTCACGCCTTCGGGCGGCAAGGGAGGCGGAGCAGGGGAGGGCTTTGACGTGACGAAAAGTGGTGACTCGAGAGTTGGGCTTGTGGGTTTCCCGTCAGTTGGGAAGTCGACGCTTTTAAACAAGCTGACAGGCACATTTTCTGAGGTAGGCCGTCATTCAAGCACTGACATAGAAGGCTTCGACGTGACAAAGAGTGGTGACTCGCGAGTGGGGCTCGTGGCTTTCCCGTGAGTGGGGATGTGGACCATTTTGAACAAACTAACGGGCACATTCTTGGAGGTAGGCTGCTGCTGCTGCTGCTGCTGCTGATGCATCCATTCACCTCCTGCTACTTGGTTGCGACTAATGCCTGCCACATCACCTTCCGCCTGCATGCAGGTGGCATCGTACGAGTTCACAACGCTCACGTGCATCCCGGGTGTGATTCGATACCGAGGGGCCAAGATCCAGGTGCGTGCTGGAATGCAGTGTAGTGCAGGGGAAAGTGCCATTGAACGTGCTGTTTAGTCTTATGATAGCCATGCGCGTTTGGAACTAGCTTTTCCCGCTCTATTGACGCTCAACCCCCGTACATTTCCTCCTCTGCACTCATCATGCTGCTTCCACCCTTTTTTTTTTCGTGCCTGTGTGTGTGGCATGACATGGCTGGCTGGCAGCTTCTGGATTTACCGGGAATCATTGAGGGAGCCAAGGACGGCAAGGGGCGAGGCAGGCAGGTGAGAGAATGGGGGGTTGAGAGAGAGAGGGAATGAGGAAGGCTTCAGAATCTAGATTTTCATTGTCCTCGTAGAATGTAGTATGGCTGGCTGAATGACCGTTGCTGGATTTAGCGAGGGGGCCAAGGACGGCAAGGGGCGAGGCAGGCAGGTGAGAGGGGGAAGGAGGGGGAAGGAGAGCCGCTCCTTCCTCCCTCTTCCTTCCTAAACTCGTTATGGCCTGCACTCCTCTTCCTCCACTCCTCGTCTCCCCCATCACGCTCACCCGTTTCTCTTGTGCAATATATGTGTGCTCTCTCTCATGTGCATCATCCTCACATCTCTCGCCTTGCCACTGCACCAACCTTTCGCACCTCCGCTCCCCTGTGGTGCATGCATACCATCCCATCAGGTCATCTCGACCGCCCGCACGTGCAACTGCATTGTGATCGTGCTGGATGCCATCAAGCCCATCACGCCCTCCCCTCCGCTACCTCTCTCTGTCCCTCTCCTCCGCTCCCCGCCCCCCTCTGCTGCCACCCCACCATCAGGTCATCTCGACCGCCCGCACGTGCAACTGCATTGTGATCGTGCTGGATGCCATCAAGCCCATCACGCCCTCCCCTCCGCTACCTCTCTCTGTCCCTCTCCTCCGCTCCCCGCCCCCCTCTGCTGCCACCCCACCATCAGGTCATCTCGACCGCCCGCACGTGCAACTGCATTGTGATCGTGCTGGATGCCATCAAGCCCATCACGCCCTCCCCTCCGCTACCTCTCTCTGTCCCTCTCCTCCGCTCCCCGCCCCCCTCTGCTGCCACCCCACCATCAGGTCATCTCGACCGCCCGCACGTGCAACTGCATTGTGATCGTGCTGGATGCCATCAAGCCCATCACGCCCTCCCCTCCGCTACCTCTCTCTGTCCCACTCCTCCGCTCCCCGCCCCCCTCTGCTGCCACCCCACCATCAGGTCATCTCGACCGCCCGCACGTGCAACTGCATTGTGATCGTGCTGGATGCCATCAAGCCCATCACGCCCTCCCCTCCGCTACCTCTCTCTGTCCCACTCCTCCGCTCCCCGCCCCCCTCTGCTGCCACCCCACCATCAGGTCATCTCGACCGCCCGCACGTGCAACTGCATTGTGATCGTGCTGGATGCCATCAAGCCCATCACGCCCTCCCCTCCGCTACCTCTCTCTGTCCCACTCCTCCGCTCCCCGCCCCCCTCTGCTGCCACCCCACCATCAGGTCATCTCGACCGCCCGCACGTGCAACTGCATTGTGATCGTGCTGGATGCCATCAAGCCCATCACGCCCTCCCCTCCGCTACCTCTCTCTGTCCCACTCCTCCGCTCCCCGCCCCCCTCTGCTGCCACCCCACCATCAGGTCATCTCGACCGCCCGCACGTGCAACTGCATTGTGATCGTGCTGGATGCCATCAAGCCCATCACGCCCTCCCCTCCGCTACCTCTCTCTGTCCCACTCCTCCGCTCCCCGCCCCCCTCTGCTGCCACCCCACCATCAGGTCATCTCGACCGCCCGCACGTGCAACTGCATTGTGATCGTGCTGGATGCCATCAAGCCCATCACGCCCTCCCCTCCGCTACCTCTCTCTGTCCCTCTCCTCCGCTCCCCGCCCCCCTCTGCTGCCACCCCACCATCAGGTCATCTCGACCGCCCGCACGTGCAACTGCATTGTGATCGTGCTGGATGCCATCAAGCCCATCACGCCCTCCCCTCCGCTACCTCTCTCTGTCCCTCTCCTCCGCTCCCCGCCCCCCTCTGCTGCCACCCCACCATCAGGTCATCTCGACCGCCCGCACGTGCAACTGCATTGTGATCGTGCTGGATGCCATCAAGCCCATCACGCCCTCCCCTCCGCTACCTCTCTCTGTCCCACTCCTCCGCTCCCCGCCCCCCTCTGCTGCCACCCCACCATCAGGTCATCTCGAC